AAATATACCAAGCCAGCATCAGCCAAGACCGTTGTGTTAAAATCACAAACTTAGATTTCCTCTCTACTGGATTTTATTTGATTATAAATTCCAGAAAGGGTGATCTATTTTCATAAAGAAATAATATGAAGGGCATAAACACACACAGTTCATCCCAATGTGAAGGGAAAAACAGTATCACAAGACAAACTTGACTAAATTGAGAGATCTTCAATGATCCTGAAACACTAGAAGGAAGTATACGCAAGTAGAAAGTAGGTCAAATTACTAAGGGAAGAATATTAGAGAACAGTGCAAGTACGCAGAGACAAAAGCAGAAAGGCCAACTTGCAGAATGAGGTAAGGCTGATAAGGGGCAGGCGGAAGCCAATCAGGGAAGAGGAGGAGGACAACGAAGAGGAGGAAGAGGAAGAGACTGAGGGACAAAGCTGTCCTGAGAGAGGAAAGCTTTCTGATGTGACACAGAGATAAACCGAAGTGCTAAAAGTGTTTTCACTTCAGCCTCCATTATAAGGGATGTTATCTATTTCAACCTAGGCAAAGCTCCTGACATTCATTAAAGATGATCTGAATAAAACTGCGGCAGGAGAGTACATGTTGTTTACAGTCACTAAGTAATAGTCATTAATTATTGAGGCCTGAGGGATGCATCACTAAATCTGAGCCAAATCCTTTAACATTCAATACTTTAATAACTTTTATTATTAAAAATACAGAACTGGAGAAAGTCCAGAGAACAGCAACAGTGACATTCTAGGAGGAAAGAAACAAAAGCTACAGGCTACTTTGAAGAAAATTACTCAAGCAAGATGTGACGAGCAGCCTTCAAACATTCGTGAATTTGCTGCAAAGAGCAAAGCAATTAACTGTTTTTATTATCCCTGAGAAAGCAATAGACAGAAATCCAGCAGTGGATTGCTAGTGACAGAACTGATTTTGTAGATTTTTTCCTGCTGCCTCATTTTCTGGGTGGTATCTCAGGGTATAGCACTTTTCATCAAATCAAGAATTATAAATCAAACAGATCTGAAGGATTTTTTTTATTTTTTATTTATTTTTTTTAAGCATAGAGTAACTAGAGCAATGCATTCTTATTTCTGTTCTGTAGACATTAAAAACAAACAGACAGATCGTGTTGACAGGAGCCAGGACCAATATTTCATTATTTTCCTATAATTTCAGAGGTAATGATAATATTTGCATGCCATATTTATAAAATCACCTAATATCTTCACACATTAAAAAAAAAATTATCATTGCAATATTGCAATACACTGTATGTTATTTGTATGGAGTGTTCTATTACTGTTAAAATCACTTGAGAAACAAAGATGATTAATATAAATGCTGCATTTCCTTTCTTAAAAATAAACCTCATTTTTATTTCAAATCTACATCAGTCCCTGTTCAGAGCAATGCTGAAAATAAATGTCTGTGTACAAAACATAGCCATCTTGTCTTCAAGTTATAAAAGGATTTCGTATCTTTGTTTCATAAGCTTCATCGTTAATTTTGGAAAGAAAATAATAAGTTCATATTCAGTGAGCAAGCGTAGCATCTATGGAATTAAATACTCTACTTTACTGGCTAGGTTGCAGCTGCAAGCTAGAACCAAGGCTTATCAATGCAGCTAGGGGGGTAGCTTTGTAATGCAATATTTCCCAAATAGGACAGCAATTTCTCCCTTCTTTTTGGGTAAAAAAATCCTGTAGCATTATTATGCCACTATTCACAGTAACATACTCAATTTCACAGTTTGCTGAAAAAAGTGGTATGTTTCAATTAACAATTTATGTTAAAGCTATACAGAACTATATTTATAATTGTTCATTTAGACTGCAGGCACACACACACACACACACACACACACACACAAATCAGCACAAATGTTGTGGTTGCTCATATGGATGCCTTTTGAATTCCTACCTTGCAGCTTCTCTACCACCTTTGCTTCTTTCTGCCTCTCCTCCTGCTGTGGACTCACCCCATATAACGCGTATAGCTCATCAGTTCAGCATCCTGCTTCTGTTCTGCAAAGCACTTAAGAACATTCTTCAGAGCTTTGCTTTATTTGAGAGCAGATATTTTACAGATGTTTAATTTAAAGCTCATGTGCAGTACCACTGAAGCAAATGGGATTACTAAAGTACTTAAAGTAATTCCCTGCTGAATCAGGCTTTTAAGAATAAGAATAAATGTGCCTAATTTTTATTCATGCATTAGATAGCTATCAGACTAATAGTTTAAACTCAGCAGTTTTGTATCTAGTTAATATTAAATTGCTAGAGTTTAATATCTTCACCTGTTGCATCTACCATCCCTGCATCAAGGACATTTCTAAATACAACCCTGCAGCACAGGTTTTGCATATATACAGTGTCCTTAGATGCTGGCATTCTGCATACAGAAATGACATCGCTTAATGCTGTGAGTACTTAGCAGTGGAACTACACAAGGTTAACTTTCTCTATACACCACAATATACTTCAGAAAAAAAGAAAAAAAAAAAAAGAAAAATACCCTACAACCTCAGAAATGAGACACTTGTGGCTTCTTCTTACATCGTCAAGATGTCTGCATGACACTCGAAGTTCAGTGCAAAGCACTTCTGTCCTCAAAGCTCTCAAAATCTATCCCCTGCTGAAAACATGTTAAGAGAAGGCTGCTAGTAACAAATACATCTTGTCACCAAGCATCAACTCCAAGATAATCTCATTAAAATTAATACACCTGGAAATATAAACTACTATTCATTTAGCATCATTTGTAAGTCACCTAAAGACCCACCAATATATTTGTACTAACAGAAAAACATATATAATTCCCTCCTAAAATTTCCACTGCTCACCTCTGCCCATCAAGTCTCGCTGGTTCCTATGACCTGATATTAACTCTGTGTAATTTAAATCAAGGGAGTAAATAAAAATAACTAATAGACATTTTGTGAGTGTAATGCTTCAGCATCTTCTTTGTAACATGCCACTTCTGCTCCTGCTCTGTGCCAGCTCTATCCTTGTGCAGGGGCCCAAGAATACACAGAAAGGCAACGATAAACAATCTTGGTCTTCTGGGATTCCAGGCTAAAACACAACATGGCTTTCTCTTGTGTTATAAGAAAGAAAATAGGAAATAGGGATCAATACAAGCAGAGTGAAAGCAATAAGCTCCTTTGGGATCGCTACTGTTTCAATCTTTTCCTTGGCTGAGAAATGCAAGATATGCAGGGCATAAAACCTGATGAGCTCAGGAAAGAACCAGAGGACAAAGAATTGATCTTTTTCAGCAACACCCCCCACTTTCCAGGCTTCTGCTCCAGTACTAATAGCAGCTTTCCACAAAAGCTCCCATTGCATACAGGTCTCAGACCTCAGCTCACTATAAAGCCTTGCCTAAAGATGCAGGAAAGACTTCCTGGTGTCTGTGACAGAGATAGGAAATTCTTGCCTGGTTTTTCACATTCCACAGCTACAGAGCAAAATCCCCAGGGCATATAGGGGCATTGAAACATCCCCGTATTCCCATGGACAAGACATATTTCTTCAATTTTGGCTTATTGTCTTCATATGTGTGCAAACATGTGCACAAACACATCTATCTATCATTTTCCAGCAGAACAGTAAATCCTTTTTGGGCTTCATAGCACACACTTTCTCTGATCAAAGGAGATGATGTGGGACATGGTGCAGTGACATGTTCAGCATGCTGCTAGGAAGAGCAGGTTCTTTGGTACTGTGCACAAAATGAGCACAAAAAATGTGCAAAGAACAGTGTGGTACAAAGCACAAAGCTTGACAATTTACTCAGCTAAAATTGAATGTTTAATATGTGCTATATTTTCCTTCAGTTTTAGTCAAAACTACTTATAGTTGGGCTGAATTTGGCATTAATTTCTGACGCTTAGCTTCTAGCTTCTGATAGTTCATGCTCAAACATTCACATATCGAAATTCTTCATCTGCAGTTCAATTTTTATCCTTACCAGTAATTCCTATGAACTTCTGCTAACATCATTCTGGCCATTTCCCCACTCTTCTGTGTCCAGACAGCACAGAAGATTTGCAAGTGTGATTCATGCTTTTTACAAAATCCCCATTGAAAAGGAACATTTGCTTTCAGATTTCCTCCCAGTCTTGGTGTACAGCTGCAAACGTACACAAAGCCCAGACTTCAGAAGAGATGCCCTGGGACACCACCACCTTTCAGTTCCTTCTCCACTAGTTCTGTGCTCTTTTGTTTCTCCCGTCATTCACCCCTGTATTTTTATCTGATTATCAAATACCTAGCAGAGGAAGACTTGGCAGCGTTTAACGCCATTCAGTCACCTGGCAGTCAGGCAGCTGGGGCACAACGTGAGGTTCTGTACCGAGTTCCCAGCGCCGTCCTTGGAAGGCGTTCATGCAGCTCTCGAGGGTTGAGTTTCTGCGGCCGTTTGCCCCTTCGGGACAGCGGGATTGGGGTGTGATTGAGGACATGGACAAAGCACAGCTCTGCACCTGCGACTTCAAATTAAAAGCAGCGTCAGAGCCCAAAGACCGATACATTTGGGTTCCACCTGTGAGCACACTACCTCACAGGCTGCAGCTACTCACAGCGCCCGCAAGAGCTCAGTGCCCAAGTCCCCCCGCGGGACACCT